ATGGGATCTCAGCTCTCAAGAAATGTTTGCTAAATTGTATTATTTGTGAAAATCTAAAGTATATTTTCCTGGGAATAGACTTGCTGGTTGTTGAGGACACACGGAGACTAGAATCTCTTTACAAATTCCCTGGAATGGGTTCTATGAACTTTCTGGAAAGAAGAAGGAGCTGCATCTAAGGCAAAGCTAGGAAGATGGTGAACTGTATAAAGAATCAACAGTTGACTTAGGGCTGGGCATGGTGGCTCATGCCTGTACTTCTAGCCCTTTGGGAGGCTGAAGGAGGAGGATGGGTTGAGTCCAGGAGTTCAAGACCAGCATAGGCAACAAAGCGAGAGCCCATCTATACAAAAAATAAAAAAAATTAGCCAGGTATGGTGATGCATGCCTGTAGTCCTAGCTACTCGGGAGGCTGAAATGGGAGAATCACTTGAGCCCAGGTGGTCAAGGCTGCAATGAGCCATGATCGCGCCACTCCCCCCAAGCCTGAGTGATAGAACAAGACCCTATCTTAAAAAAAAAAAAAAAAAAAAAAAAAAAAAAAAAGTGAAATCTGGAAGCCTGGCAACTTAGGAAGGTGAAGAATGAATTCCAGACTGAATTGGATTCCAGACTGGGTCTTGAGCCTTCTTCCTTTAAGGTGGACTGGTAATGTCCCTCCCAGGAAGTGTGTCCCACTTGGAGAGAATCTGTCCAGCTATGCCTCATGCTTCTGCCCGTCCTCCAATCCCACAAACTAGCACAGTGCCTGGCCCAGAGAATGCCCAGTGGCATGTATCCATTAGACAGTATGGTGAGCATACCGACTTCCCGAAACCAAGGATCTCCTCCTCCATGTACTTCCAGGCCTTGGCTGTGGGGGTTATGATGCAGGTATTCACCACAATTGAATAGCACAGCACCAGCAAGGCCTCTGTGTGGGGCAGCTGCAGGAGGCTGCAAGAAAACAGCACTGACGGTGGGGCTGGCCCAGGCGGCCAGGAAACTACATCCGCCCTCCTCCCCTTCCCTTAATGTCTGCTGTTGGTCACACACATTCAGCATGGGGCCTTAGAGGCCTTTGGACAAATTGCCTCCTTTTACAAATGAGGAACTGAGGATCCGAAAGGAGAAATAACTTTCTCAGAATTGCAATGCTAAGCAGGGCCAGAGACAAGACCAGAACCCAAGTCTGGTAGCTCCATGTACAGGGCTTACATAGAGAATAAGCATTTGGGCAGTGCTTAAGCCAATAACAGGCACAGAACGGGCAAGGCAGGCGGCTGCTAGCTGTGCCTGATGCCCAGACAGGTCTGAGCAGATCTGAAGGCTGATGCTAGGAAAAGGGTTTCTCACTCCCAAGAAGGCAGAAGAGAGGACAGGGTGGAGGAAAGAGACGGAACTTCCTATACCTGCCAGGTTTTTGGTGTCTCCAGTAGGATTCCTCATCATACATTTCATTCATTTCATCCATTTCCTGGACTGATCGAATGAGTTCCTGGATGTTCTCCATCATCATAGGAGTAGAATCCACTTCTCGTACCCGGGGAGTGAAGGAGGGAGGGTTAGAAGATAAAGATTCAGAGTGAAACTGGGGCTCCGAGTCTGTCTGCAGCTGAGACATAGCCTCCAGTCCCTCCTTCATCCCCTGTCTTTCTTCCTGCTTTCCCTCCTCTTCTTGTCCCTCCTCTTGCTCTGGTTCCTGCCCGCCTTCCTGCTTATGCTCTTGCATCAGCTCCTGCCTGTACTCCACTCCGTGCTCCTGCTTGTGCTCTGGCGCTTGCTCCTGGCCTCCCAGGGACAAGGAGGATTGCAGGAGCTCCTCCAGGTTGTTGTTAAGCCTCTCAGGCCAGGACTGGAAGGCCTGGCGTTCTGTCGATACAGCAGGGTTTAGAGAGAAGGGAAAGAGACGGGTGTCCTGAGTGTCTTTGTTCACAGAGGGAAACACACTTAAACAAAGCAGACCAAGTCACACTTATATACACAGAAAATAATATGGGTAATCAACTGAAAGAACATTCTTATGGCGATTATGAGGTTGGTGGTACACATCACCTCCCCACCTCCCTGGCAAGCACTCCTCTTCCCTAACTTCCATCTCAAATGCCACCTTTTGCCCCTCTCCCTTAGGAAACACCAAGTATGCTGAGCGGCTAGCAGCTAATCCTTTTTAAAGTGAAGACGTTTATAAATGGCCCAGAGGACTTCCAATGCAACAAAGTCTTTGGAATTGGGAAAAATGGATTCAGGGCAAAGCTGTAAGTAATGGCAGAAGAGATACTCGTCCAGGAGAGCCCTAACTTACATTCATAAAAAGCTGACGCTCCCTTGTGCAAACAGCTGTCTGCTGGCGCCCCCTTCCCACACAACACGAATCCCATTTCCTTGCATGGATGCCTTACAGTGTGGGCTCTGGGAATCGGGAGATGAGTAGCTAGTAGTGGTCTCTCAGCTACTGAGAGGGTCTCACCTGTGAAGTGGGGTGAGATGGGGGCGGTCATCGTGGTGGACGAGACTTCAGCTGGAGTGTCTATCTCCTTGAGTGTGTTAGGTGAGAGAACAGAGACTGGCTGGGAGCACCGGACTCTCTGAAGGAAGAGAAGGAAAATGGGAAAGCCTTTCCCAAAGAACCAGGTCCAGCTGGTTCCTCAGTCCCTTTTCCAGCATGTCTCATCTCTCACAGTTTCTAGGCAGGGATAAAGAGACATGGTCCCTGCTGGAAGCCTCTAGACCTGAGAAGGGGTCTTTTCAGAAGATAAACCTCTGTCTGGGCCACAGCCCTACTGTCACTTTTGCATTTGACTTAAAATTTGACCTGTTCGAAGAAATGGAAGGGCTCATCTCTTTGCCTCTTCCCAACCCTCTTCCCTACTTTTTTTTTTAATCTGAGACACAGTCTCCTTCTGTCACCCAAGCTGGAGTGTAGTGGCATGATCTTGGCTTACTGCAGCCTCTGCCTCCCGGGCTCAAGTCATTCTCCTGTCTCCAAGCAGCTGGAATTACAGGTGCCCACCACCATGCCCAGGTAATTTTTTTTTTTTGGTATTTTTAGTAGAGATGGGGTTTCACCATGTTGGCCAGGCTGGTCTTGAACTCCTGACTTCAGGTGATCTGCACACCTCTGCCTCCAAAGTGCTGGGATTACAGGCGTGAGCCACCATGCCCAGTCTCTTCCCTACTTTTCTTGTAGTAACAGAATTGTTCAATCTGAATGTCCAAGGTGAGACTGTATTCATCTATAATCTGGGTAAATGACTGGCAAAATGGCAGGGAAGGAGGAGCTAAGGAATACTCTCCTGGAGCCCTTCCTCAACTTCCCACTCCTGCTGCCTCTCCCTTGGCCCTGGGAGACCAGATCCAACCTTTGTCCTGGGCCTCACCTTGGCATAGTAGACGTGGTTGGAGCAACGGTACTGAGTAAACCGGCAGAAAGACTCAAACCAGGAGGCATAAGGGAGGTCGGAGCAGACAGCACCTGAGAAAGGGCAGGGATGGAGAAGATGAACCCACAGGGGGAGCTCGGGGTGGGGCTGGAGCAGTGGACTGCACGCCATGGGGAGGGTGGGGAGGGTGGAGAGTATGAGCTCAGGGTGAGGTGGTGCCAGCCATGCCCTTCCCCACCTCACATAAGCACGGGGCTTTTGCCCTGAGGTTTGGGTGATCTGGGTGTCTTGGCCACAAGTCTGGCTCTCACCATCCGGTACTAAGCCGTGGTTTTCATATTGGTCCAGCTGGACTAGTGTGGGATTCCGACAGCCGTGGGTCGCACGGAGACGGCAAGTAGTCTCTGCCTTCCAGGTTGGGGTCAGCAGTGCGAAGAAGCGTTCGTATTCGCCGGGAGAGAGAGGGCTGCCTGGAGTGGAAGCCTGAGTCGAATCTTGGGCTGGGGCAGGTGCCAGAGGCAGGAGCAGCACTGCGGAGCGGGTGAACGGGCGATGGAAGGACCGAACCCCAAAACCCGCTCCGGGACCAGGGCAGACAGACCCAGACTGGCAAATTAGGAACAGGGGTCTCAGGCGGGTTATCCCTGCTGACCAGGTTGAGGGGATTCTACAGACAGAGGCAAAGGTCCGACAGCGGGCGGGGGAAGATGAGAGGATCCCAGGAGCTAGGGAGCAGACCCAGCACGACCACCATGAGGAAGCGTTCCAGAAACCGTAAAAGCAGGGCTCTCGGGAGGGAGAGGACTGAGCCCGCGGAGGGTCTGCTGGAGCAGGTGGAAACCTCTCACCCTTCAGGAGTGAGGGAAGGAAGGCAGCGGCTGGCTTCCTCATGGCCCTAGAAGATTCGCCGGCGTTCCGCAAACCCAAGCCGCCTCTAACGGGCAAAGTCGCAGAGACAGCCGCAGACGCGGGACGGGGCGGGGCGCACGCGGGACGGGGCGGGGCAGACGCGGGACGGGGCGGGGCAGACGCGGGCTTCGTCCACGCGTCACAAAGAGCGGGCCGGGGAGGGGCCTCAACAGCCGGGCGGAGCCCTCAGGTGGCCTAAGCCGATCGAGATGGTAGGGATGGCAAAAGCTACCTTCGGCTTAGCATCTTTTTTTTTTTTTTCCCTCCCCTCCTGAGTCCTGCTCTGTCGCCCAGGCTGGAGTGCAGTGGCGCGATCTCGGCTCACTGCAACCTCCGCGTCCCAGGTTCAAGCGATTCTCCTGCCTCAGCCTCCCGAGTAGCTGGGACTACAGGCGCACGCCATCATGCCCAGCTAACTTTTGTGTTTTTAGTAGAGACAGGGTTTCACCATGTTGGCCAGGATAGTCTCGACCGCTTGACCTCTTGAGTCGCCCGCCTTGGCCTCCCAAAGTTTTGGGATTATAGGCGTGAGCCGAGCCTAATTTTTGTGGGATTTTTTTTGTTTTTGTTTTTTTGGAGGCAGAGTCTTGCTCTATTGCCCAGGCTGGAGTGCAGTGGCAGGATCTCGGCCCAATACAACCTCCATCTCCTAGGTTCAATCAATTCTCCTACCTCAGCCTCCCCAGTAGCTGAGATTACCGGTGCCCTCCGCCACCCCCAGCTATTTGAATTTTTAGTAGAGACAGGGTTTCATTATTTTGGCCAGCCTGGTCTGGAACTGCTGACCTCAGGTGATCTGCCCACCTTGGCTTCCCAAAGTACAGGATTACAGGTGTAAGCCACTGCACGCAGCCACTTAGCATCTTTACGTGCACTACCTTACTTGCCATAGGAATCCCATAAGGTGGACACACTATCATTCGTTTCACAGATGGGAAATCAGGTCTTTGCCCAACAGGTCGTGAGGTCTAGAGCTGAGCACTGGCAGAGACAGAATGTGCAAAACAAAGTCAAGGCCTATCCAGGCAGGAACTAGAGAGGGCACCCCATGAGCAAAATGGGTCAGAGGGGAAAAACGAGACGGTGGCTCAATGGTCTAAGAAAGTGGTTTCCAAGGGGGAGGCGAGTAAGACAATCCACTGAGGTGTGGGAGGGGAACTGTTATTTTTATATGTGTTTTGTGTTTAAAATGAGAAATTCTAGTCCTGGTAACAGGGTGAAGCCCGGTCTCTACAAAAAGTACGAAAAATCAGCCAAGCGTGGTGGCGTGCACCTGTAGTCCCAGCTTCTTGTGGGGCCAAGACGGGAGGATTGCTTGAGCCCATGAGGTCAAGGCTGCAGTGAGATGCAGTCCAGCCACTCCTCTCTAGCCTGGGTGACAAAGTGAGACCCTGCCTCAAAAAAAAAAAAAAAAAGGAAATAAATAAAAATAAAACAAGAAATTGTCTTGGGCCAGACTTGGTGGCTCATGCTTATAATCCCAGCACTTGGGAGGTCAAGGTGGGTGGATCCCTTGAGCCTAGGAGTTCCAGACCAGCCTGGGCAACATGGTGAAACCCTGTCTCTACAAAAAATACAAAACTTGTCAGGTGTGGTGGTGTGTGCCTGTGGTCCCAGCTACTATTCAGGGTGCCTGAGGCAGGAGGGTTTACCTGAGTCTTCGGAGGTCGAGGCTGCACTGAGCTGAGATCTCACCACTGTGCTCCAGCCTGGGTGACAGAGTAAGACCCTGTCTCAAAAAATAATAATAAAATTAAATAAATAAAGTAGAGGCCAGGCACCATCGTTCATTTCTGGAATTCCAGCACTTTAGGAGGCAGAGGAGGGTGGACCTCTTGGAGGCCAGGGGTTCAGGACCAGCCTGGCCAAAATAGTGAAACCTTATCTCTACTAAAAATACAAAAATGATGGCTGGTCTCCACTCACTGCAACCTTCACCTCCCAGGTTCAAGTGATTCTCCTGCCTCAGCCTCCCAAGTAGGAGGGAATACAGGCATGCACCACCACATCTGGCTAATTTTTGTATTTTCAGCAGAGATGGGGTTTTACCATGTTGGCCAGCCTGGCCTCGAACTCATGACCTCAGGTGATCTGCCCACCTCGGCCTCCCAGAGCACTGGGATTACAGGTGGGAGCTACTTCACCCGGCCTATTTAGTTTTTTTGACACAGAGTCTCGCTCTGTTGCCAGGCTGGAGAGCAGTGGTGCAATCTCAGCTCACTGCAACCTCTGCCTCCCAGGTTCAAGCGATTCTCCTGCCTCACCCTCTCAAGTAGCTGGGATTACAGGCACCCATCACCACGCCGAGCTAATTTTTGTATTTTTAGTAGAGATGGGTTTCGCCATGTTGGCCAGGCTGGTCTTGAACTCCTGACCTCAGTTGATCCACCTGCCTTGGCTTCCCAAAGTGTTGGTATTAGAGGGATGAGCCACTGCACCTGGCCCACTTTTTTTTTTTTTAAGAAATGATGCCAGGCATGGTGACTCACGCCTGTAATCCCAGCACTTTGGGAAGCAGAGGCGGGTGGATCATGAGGTCAAAAGACCAAGACCATCCTGGCCAACATGGTAAAACACAATCTCTACTAAAAATACAAAAATTAGCTGGGCATGGTGGCTCGTGCCTATAGTCCCAGCTACTAGGGAGCCTAAGGCAGATGAATCACTTGAACCTGGTAGGTGGAAGTTTCAGTGAGCTGAGATCATATCACTGCACTCCAGCCTGGTGACAGAGCAAGATTCTGTCTCAAAAAAAAATAAGGGAATAAATCAAGCTAATATTTGGTATAGTAGTACACATGTATAACAGAAATAAATCATTTATTGGAAATTAAGTGAAAGATGTTTTATGGAGAAAAGCTGTACAATTTACAAAGTTTTGGAGACCCCTGGTCTGAGGCCCACCCTTCAGCACCTCTGTCCTTCCCAAGTTGAGAACTTGTGGGTTCTCGGGCAGAGGCATCACTCTGGTTTCATGTCGGGTCCTAATTGTGGCATGCCATCATCTCACATTGTATCCAACCCAGAGGATGCAAAAAGAAGTACTCGGCACATTTACTCAAACAATGTCTATACAATAAACACAGCAGGCCAACATGTATAGCTTTTATTTACCTACCCAAGTTCCTTTTACATGTGAGTTATCTGCATTCCACCTTGCCCCCTCTCCCATTCACAAGGCCAGGATGAATCCTCTCGGCACAGAGGAAGGGGTTCCCCTTCAACTACGGCCAGAGCCTAGATAACCTGGGGGATCCCCCACCATGAAAAAAGCAGGAAGGGAATGGAGAAGACAGTGTTGATCATACCTAGCCCTCACCACAGGAGGAGGGGGAATGAAGAGGTCTAGGGGACTGCCCCCATGCTATACCCCAGTCCTTAAGTACAAAGCAAGGGGAATGAAAAGGACCCTCCCTCTGAAATACAGCACCAACCTCAGCATGGAGGCAAAAGGACAGTGGGCAAGACCACGTCCCTTTGAAGGGAGAGGACTGAAGGAGAGCACATACCGTTAGTGGCTGCGGCACCCCTCCCTACCAGGGTTTGATGCAGCCTCAGCACCGGGAGTGGGGAGAGGGGAGGAGAAGGGATGACAGTACTGTGCCATCCACTTCTCCCTGAACCCCTGGCCCCAGCACAGGCATTCCTCTGCCCACTAGCCCAAGTCAGGGGATGTGGAAGAAACTGTGTCGGAATCCAGGGCCCTTATCTATTTCTTCTTCCGTTCTTGGGAGCAGCGTGGGCAAAACCTGAAAAACAGAAGGGGAGAGAAAAGTAAGTGAAAGGGAGAATGCCCTCTACCACTCACCTTAGGGACCCTCCAACCCCTGCCACTTACCATTTCCCCCGAGGCTTGGTTGTCAGCCCCACACAGGCAAAATGGAACCACTCAATGGAACACTGGAAGAGGAAGAAGGAAAACGTAGTCAGGGGCCAGGATGGGCCAGAGGAAGGAGAGAAAGCCCCTCCAGATTCCTTAGGTATGTCCTGTCCTTTACTCCATCCTTTTGGAGAGTTCTTGGAAGCCCCAAGGCCAACCAGTTCCCACCATTTTCCTTGAATTCTTTTTTTTTTTTCCTTTTTGAGATGGAATCTCACTCTGTTGCCAAGGCTAGAATGCAATGACCATCTCAGCTCATAGCCACCGCCACATCCCAGGTTCAAGCAATTCTCCCACCTCAGCCTCCTGAGTAGCTAGGATTACAGACACACGCTGCCACGCCTGGCTAATTTTTGTATTTTAAGTAGAGGCTGGGTTTCACCGTGTTGGCCAGTCTGGTCTCAAACTCTGACCTCAAGTGATCCACCCTCCTCGGGCTCCCAAAGTGCCGGGATTACAGGCATGAGCCACCGAGTCAGGCCTTTTCTTCTTCTTCTTCTTCTTTTTTTTTTGAGACAGAGCCTTGCTGTGTTGTCCAGGCTGGAGTACTGTGGCACGATTTCAGCTCACTGCAACCCCTGCCTCCCAGGTTCAAACGATTCTCCTGCCTCAGCCTCCCGAGTAGCTGGGATTACAGGTGTGTGCCACCACACCCAGCTAATTTTTGTATTTTCAGAAGAGAAGGGGTTTCACTATGTTGGCCAGGCTGGTCTCGAACTCCTGACCTCAAGTGATCTGCCTGCCTTAGTCTCACAAAGTGCTGGGATTTCAGGCGAGAGCTACCATGCCCAGCCCGTCTTCCTTCTAGTCTGAAGTCCCAGTACTCAACTGTGGGATTTTCCCTCTTGTACCCGCTCCCTTCATGCCCCTCACAACCCCCCATCCTGAGGCAAAATGTTTCTCACATCAGGGTTGTCACAGCCAATCATCTCTCCATAGGAGACCTGGTGACAAAGGCAATAGGTGGGTTCGTTGGGATCCACAGGCATATCCAACACATCAGAGGGGTGGACACTGCCAAAGGTCACTGAGGGCATCCCATACTCAGGACTTCTGCATGCCAAGAGGAAGAGAAAGTGTCATCTACAGGAAGGGAAGCTAAAGCCTGAGGCTTTCAGAGGTGGCAGGAGATCCTGGTGGGGCAAATGATTTGTGGCTTCTCTTCTCCAGCAGATACCAACATGATAAGAAGAGTTCTTGGCAGAGATACAGAAAGTGGCAGGGGGCAGTGCAGGCTGGAAGTGGGGCACTGGGAGAGAAGGGGACGTCATCTGGCAAAGGGCTCCCTGATACACTCACGTGCGCACGAGCTTTAACTTCTTCTGGGCAGTCTTGGGGGCTTCTTCATCTGAGTTTTTCCCTTTGGAACGAGCACGAGCAGCTTTCTTCTCCTTTTGAGTCCGGCCTTCTAGGGAAGAGGGGGAAAGCCAGAAGGCAGGGAGACAGAAAGATGAGTTAAGTCCTCTTCTCTTCCTCTCTTTCCAACCTGTTGCCCCACTCCCCACCAGATGAAGAGCTGGCGTCTTCTCTCATTGAATCCTCGCCCCAACTCTCACAGCCCCGCCCCCCTCCTCACTCTTTTTGCCTTTGCTGGAAGAGCTGTCATAGTCACTTGATTCAATCTGTTTCTCCTTGAGATCAGCCTCAAAACGGGCCAGGTCTGTGTCCAGCCGCCGAATGTGTTTGTCCACCTGGGTGGAAAGGAAGAAGAAAGGAGAGGTACAAAACTAGTTCCAATTAAACAAAATAGGTTAAGGCAGAGTCTATGGACCTCGCAGACCCCAAACAGGTCCCAGCACAGTTGAAGGGGGGGGGTCTAAGACCCTGAGGATTAGATGGGAGGTAGGTGGGGAGCCAGGAACAGGGCCATACCATCTCATAGGTCTGCATGGCAAGCTGCACCTTGTCGTCACCAAATTCCTTGCACTTGCCATAGGCTTCCTGGATCTGTTTGAGAAGGGCCAATTTTTCCTCGGAGCTCAGGCTGCGGGCGCTACTCATATACTCAGTGGCCAACTTGTCAATTTCAGCCTTCAGGTCTACAACAGAGACAGAGGCCTGGTCACAATGGCCCGAGTGGCTAGATGAAACACACTTCTTCCTCTTGTTCCTTGGACCTTTTCCATCCACTAGCATAACCTTCCAAGTAAAAAGTACTCAATGTTCAGAGGTACTGTGCCATGCACTCAAGTCATGCAACATACTGACAATATTTGCCTTAAAGGTCCTTTCAAGGTGCTGAAAACATTGCTATCACACTTGGAATTTAAATTATCGCAACACAGCATGGGATCCTTTGCACACCACAGTGATATGAAGGATATTTTTGTTCATGTCTGAAGATGCTTCTTTGCAGGCCTTGTTGTTTCTTGCATTTTGTCTCAAAAGCCATTGTTTCCTTCTCAGAAACATCCCACAGCAGCTGTCTGCTGCGAATCAGGCTGAGTCATCTGCGCTGCTGGTTCCCAAGTCTATACATCTATATCACACATTTTAAAATTATGTATTAATATTTTACTTTTTGACACAGGGTCTCACTCTGTGGCCCAGGATGGACTGCAGCCACAGCTTCCTGAGGTCTGGTGATCCTCCCATCTCAGGTACCACCATGTCTGGCTAATTTTTTCTATTTTTTTGTAGAGATGGGGTTTCTTGACATTACCCAGGTTGGTCTCGAACACCTGGGCTCAAGCAATCTGCCTGCCTTGACCTCCCAAAGTGCTGGGATTGATTACAAGGGGTGAGCCACCATGCCTCGCCTAATCTATTGATTTTTAGAGACAGGCACAGAGTCTCTCTCATGTTTGTTGCCTAGGCTGGCCTCCAACTCCTGGCTTCAAGTGATTCTATCACTTCTGCCTCCTGAGTAGTTGGGTGTATCATGCAATTTAAAATTCGACCTTATTCCATTCATGTAGCAATTCTTCTGCTTATCTTACTGCTAACTTATTTTTTTTGTTTGAAATAGTGTCTCACTTTGTTGCCCAGAGTGCAGTGGCATAATCATGGATCACACTGTAGCCTCTTGGCTCAAATGATCCTCCCACCTCAGCCTCCAGAGTCGCTGAGACCATAGGCATATCCCACCACACCCTGATAATGTTTTTAAAAAATTATTTGTAGAGACAAGGTCTCACTATATTGCCCAGGCTCGTCTTGAACTCCTAGGCTCGAATGATCCACCTGCCTAACCTCTCAAAGTGGTGGGATTACAGGTGTGAGCCACTGCACCCAGGGTGCCCAAACTATTTGGCTCATCATTGCAACTTGCTTTTATTTTCCATCACTTATTTTACCTGTTTTTCCATCTTAGATATTGCTCCAAAGGTGTTTTTTTGTTTGTTTTGAGATGGAGTCTCGCTCTGTTGCCCAGGCTGGAGTGCAGTGGCACAATCTCGGCTCACTGCAACCTCTGCCTCCCAGGTTCAAGGAATTCTCATGTCTTAGCCTCCCAACCAGTTGGGACTACAAGTGTGCACCACCACATCTGGCTAATTTTTGTATTTTTAGTAGAGATTTGGTTTTACCATGTTGGGCAGGCTGGTCTTGAACTTCTGACCTCAAGTGATCTGCTTGCCTCAGCCTCCCAAAGTACTGGGATTACAGGCATGAGCCTGGCCTCCCAAATGTTTTATTTTATATATTTTTGGAAATTAAGTCTCACTCTGTCACCCAGGCTGGGGTGCATGGTGCCATCCTGGCTCACTGCAACCCCCAGCTCCCAGGTTCAAGCAATTCTCCTGCCTCAGCCTCCTGAGTAGCTGGGATTACAAGTACACACACAACACCCAACTAGTTTTTGTATTTTTAGTAAAGACAGGTTTCTATCATGTGAGCCAGGCTGGTTTCAAACACCTGACCTCAGGAGATCCACCTGCCTCTGCCTCCCAAAGTGACAGAATTACAGGTGTTGAGCCACCGCGCCCAGCCCCAAATGTTTTAATATTGGAAGAATGTTCCAGGAGATTGAGACTATAGATGTTTACTAATATTTGGTAGCATTCATAAATGTGTCAGTAGAAAGAGACAAGTCTGACTATAACGTAGTGCAGCAACAGATAACCAGGATCATCTGCGAATACACTGCTTATACTCCACTTTATTCCAGGCCCTTGGAAGAGGCTGAAAAAGCATAGAGTTCCATAATCTCCAACTGTCTTCCTTTTTTGTTTGAGACGGAGTCTCGCTCTGTTGCCAGGCTGGAGTGCAGTGGTGTGATCTCAGCTCACTGCACTCTCTGCCTCCCGTGTTCAAGCCATTCTCTTGCCTCAGCCTCGGAGTAGCTGGGATTACAGGTGTGCACCACCATATCCAGCTAATTTTTATATTTTTAGTAGAGATGGGGTTTCACCATGTTGGCCAGGATGGTCTCGAGCTCCTGACCTCGTGATCAGCCCGCCTCGGCCTCCCAAAGTGCTGGGATTACAGGAGTGAGCCATTTTGCCCAGCCCCAGCTGGTCTTTCTATGCATGAACTCAAGAGTTACATCTGTATTACAAAAAAAGCAATCTGGTTCTCACCATTCATCAGGCAGTTCTGAGGAAACTATGTCCAGGGTTTTCAATGATGTTCACCTTTTCACGAGTAAACTTACCCAGAGAATTTAAGACACAGCTTCACATATCCCAAAACCAGCCTGTTACATCCTTGAACATGGCTACACAGAATGGAAGATAAGCCCTAAAGATCCTTCAGTGGGTATGGGGATAGCTCCAACAGTCATCTTTGATTCGAAGAAACCAAGAGAATGCCCCAATGCAGCCCAATTTGCTCAATGTTCAAGGCTGGAGATGGTATCTGATGCTTCCGTAAGCGTGAACAGTGTAGAGATCCTGATGTCAATTACTGCTTCTTTCTTTCCTCTCTGTTTTCTTGTTTCTTTCTCTTTTAAGGACTTCTCATATAGCAAAGCTCCCATCTACCAACATAAGTTGGTCTAAAGTCACACGGGGAATTTTGTGATAGTAACATTAACAATGCAGAGAAGTAGAAACATTCTAGTCATCCTATAAATATATCAAACAGGGAGAGCAGAAATGACTCCAGTTGACTTTAATTCTTCTTCTTCTTCTTCTTTTTTTTTTGAGACACAGTCTTGCTCTATTGCCCAGGCTGGAGTTCAATGGCATGATCTTGGCTCACTACAACCCGGGTTCAAATGATTCTCATGTCTCAGTCTCCCAAGTAGCTGGGATTACTGGTGCATGCCACCACACTTGGCTAATTTTTGTATTTTTGGTAGAGATGGGGATTTCACCATGTTGGCCAGGCTGGTCTCAAACTCATGGCCTGAAATGATCCACCCGCCTATGCCTCCCAAAGTGCTGGGATTGCAGGTGTGAGCCACCACACCTGGCCTAATTCTTCTTGAGGAAGACACAAAGAACATAGTATCTTTGAATTCCTGAGGCGTTTTCACAGTACTCTATTTGTTAAAAAAAAAGCTGATACAGAAATGAGGATCATTATTCTGTTTTAAGAATTGCAGGAGAGCAAAAAGGGAGAGAGAAGCTACAGTTCTCTAGATCATACTAGATGATATGGTAACACCAAGCAGAAAAATAAATGATTACACACACTCATTATCACAAAAAATTTTACTCTGTACGTACCCTCTGTTCTTTGGTCTAGGTCCCTCATGAGCTGAAAGTTTCTCTGTAATTCAAAGGGAAGGTTTTCAATACCTAGAGAAGAGAGAGAAACAAAGAATCACAGGGACTGACTGTGCATAGGCCTTATAGCTCCTTTTAAAGTGCAGTTCAGGCTTGGCACGGTGGCTCACGTCTGCAATCCCAGCACTTTGGGAGGACGAGGGGGTAGATCACTGAAGGCCAGGAGTTTGAGACCAGTCTGGCCAAATGGTGAGACCCCAACTCTATTAAAAATACAAAAATTAGCCCGGTATGGTGGTTTGCACCTCTAATCCCAGCTACTTGGGAGGCTGAGGCACGAGAATCACTTGAATCCAGGAGGCAGAGGCTACATTAAGCTGTGACTGAGCCACTGCACTCCAGCCTGGGTGGCAGAGCAAGATCCTGTCTCAAAAACAAACAAGGTCGGGCGGGGTGGCTCACGCCTGTAATCTCAGCACTTTGGGAGGCTGAGGCGGGCAGATCACAAGGTCAGGAGATCATGACCAGCCTGGCTAACACAGTGAAACCCTGTCTCTACTAAAAATACAAAAAATTAGCCGGGTGTGGTGGCGCACACCTGTAGTCCCAGCTAGTTGGGAGGCCGAGGTAGGAGAAATGCTTGAAGCTGGGAGGCAGAGGTTGCAGTGAGCCAAGATCGAGCCACTGCACTCCAGCCTGGGCCACCGAGTGAGGCTCCATCTCAAAACAAAACAAAACAAAATAAAAAAAGAAAGTGCAGATCAGTTTTCCTTCCTCTTAACCTCTGGATTTATCTGTGACAGGACTTATCAGTTCTCCCATGAGAAGCCATGCTCATCTATTTCTCTCCAAAACCTTTCCATTTTTGCACAGCTATCCCGCCCTTTTTGCCTTCAGTGACCTGCCTTACAAATAAACTCTTCCCACTGGGCGCAGTAGCTCACAACTGTAATCCAGCACTTTGGGAGGCTGAGGCAGGTGGATCACGAGGTCAGGAGTTTGAGACCAGCCTGAACAACATGGTGAAACTCTGTTTCTACTAAAAATACAAAAATTAGCCAGGCGTGGTGATACATGCCTATAATCCCAGCTACTCAGGAGACTGAGGCAGAAGAATCGCCTGAACTCAGCAGGTGGAGGTTGAAGTGACCCAAGATTGCGCCAATGCACACTCCAGCCTGGCAACAGAGTTAAGACTCCTTCTCTAAAACAAAAAAACACACAAATAAGCTCTTCTCCTTCCTTTCTGTTTTTGTTATTTGAGATGGAGTCTTGCTGTATTGCCCAGACTGGAGTGCAGTGGCATGATCTCGGCTCATTGCAACCTCCACCTCCAGGTTCAAGGGATTCTCCTCCCTCAGCCTCCAGAGTAGCTGGGACCACAGTCGTGTGCTGTCACATGTAACTAATTTTTGTATTTTTAGTAGAGACAGAGTTTCACCATTTTGGCCAGGCTGGTCTCGAACTCCTGGCTTCTGGTGATCCACATGCCTCGGCCTCCTAAAGTGCTGGGATTATAGGCATGAGCCACTGAGCCTGGCCCCTTTCCTTTATTTTCAATCTCTGTCTCCAAACTCTTTGCCCTCAAGTTACAAATAGTCTCTGGTATCCTCTGTTATACATATAACACTTCCAGTCTTCTTCCATATAGTAGCCAGAATGTCCTTTTTAAAAACTGCAAATCTATGGCCGGGTGCGGTGGCTCAAGCCTGTAATCCCAGCACTTTGGGAGGCCGAGACGGGTGGATCACGAGGTCGAGAGATCGAGACCATCCTGGTCAACATGGTGAAACCCCGTCTCTACTAAAAATACAAAAAATTAGCTGGGCATGGTGGCACGTGCCTGTAATCCCAGCTACTCAGGAGGCTGAGGAAGGAGAATTGCCTGAACCCAGGAGGCGGAGGTTGCGGTGAGCCAAGATCACGCCATTGCACTCCAGCCTGGGTAACAAGAGCAAAACTCTGTCTCAAAAAAAAAAAACAAAAAAACAAAAAAACTGCAAATCTGCCCAGGTGTGGTGGCTCATGCCTGTAATCCCAGCACATTGGGAGTCCAAGGTGGGAGGATCAGCTGAGCTGAGGAGTTCAAGACCAGCCTGGGCAACATGGTGAAACCCCATCTCTACTAAAAATACAAAACATTAGTCAGGCATGGTGCACATCCATGTAATCCCAGCTACTTGGGAGGCTGAGGCACAAGAACCCCCTGAACCCGGAAGGCAGAGGTTGCAGTGAGTCAAGATCATGCCAATGCACTCCAGCCCAGGTGGCAGAACAAGACACTGAATCAAAAAAACAAACAAAAAAACCCCATAAAAATAAAAAATGCAAACCTAATCAAGTCACTCTCTAGCTTATAACCTTCTGGTAACTTCCTATTGCTCTTAAGATGGTCTGCACTTGCTGGCCCTTGCTTACCTCACACCAGCCTTAACTCATGTCAGTCTGCCTTGTGCTCCTCTCAGTGCCTCAAACTGGCCTGTGCTCCTCCTGCCATCTGGCTTTCCACAAGCTGTTTTCTCTGCTTGGAACGCACTGCTTGCTTCTCCACATCCTGTCCACTCCATCCCTCTTGGTCTATTAAATTCCTGTTCATTCTTCCAAAGTTCAGCTCAAACTCAACTTTCCTAGACTCTGATGTATGTCAAGGTATGCTATCCACCTTTTAAAAGCACTTATCCAACTGTAATTAAATAAACGTGTAATCAGTTAGCTGGGCAGTGGCCCACACATGTAACACAGCACTCTGGGAGGCGGGCGTGTCGCTCAAGGCCAGGAGTTTGAGACCATTCTAGGCAACATGGCTCTCCACTAAAATTACAAAAATTAGGGCCAGGCACAGTGGCTCACATCTATAATCCCAGCACTTTGGGAGGCTGAGGCAAGAGAATTGCTTAAATCCAAGAGGTAGAGGTTGCAGTGAGCTGATATCGCACCATTACACTCCAGCCTGGGTGACAGAAGGAGACCATCTCAAAAACAAAACAAAACAAAAATTAGATGGGCATAGTGGCCCCCGTGCCTGTAGTTCCAGCTACTTCAGAAACTGAGGCAGAACAACTGCTTGAACCAGGGAGGGGGAGGCTGCAGCCTGGGTGAAAGAGCAAGACTGTCTCAAAAAACAAAAAATGAAAAAAATAATAATTGTGTAATTAGTTATTTGGTATGTCTCCCCAGGCCGAATATGGCTATCTTATTCTCTCCTGCTTCCCGAGTGTTTAGAATTATGACTTGCATAGAGCAGGTACTCAGTAAATACTTGAATAAATGCATGAATATTTGTCCCCCAGTACAAAAAAATCTCTTCCCAAGACTGCACCTAAAACTTTAAAAATGCCTCTACTGGCTGGGCACAGTGGCTCATGCTTGTAATCCCAGTGCTCTGGGAGGCCAAGGCAGGCAGATCGCTTGATTTCAGGAGTTTGAGACCAGCCTGGGCAACATGTCCAGACCCTGTCTCTATAAAAATTATATATTATACATAATACATATAAATTATATATACGTATATGTATGTATGTATATATAAACAAAAGGAGGCCTGGTGTGGTGACTCATGCCTGTAATCCCAACACTTTGGGAGGCTAAGGCGTGTGGATCACCTGAGGTCAGGAGTTTGAGACCAGATTGGCCAACACAGTAAAACTCCATCTCTATTAAAAATACAAAAATTAGGCCAGGCATGGTGGCTCACGCCTGTAATCCAAGCACTTTGGAGGCCAAGGTGGGCGGATCACCTGAGGTCAGGGGTTCAAGACCAGCCTGACCAACATGGTGAAACTCCATCTTAAAAAAAGGAATACAAAAATTACCCAGGCATGGTGGCAGGCACCTGTAATCTCAGCTACTCTGGAGGCTGAGGCAGGAGAATCGCTTGAATCTGGGAGACAGAGGTTGCAGTGAGCCGAGATCATGCTATTGTACTCCAGCCTGGCCAATAAAGTGAGACTCTGTCTCAAGAAAAAAACAAACAAACAAAAATGAATTAAAAAAATTAAAAGGCCTCTACTGTTTTAACCAACAACCTCAGGTCTACTACCACCAGTTCACCGAGATTACTTTAAGCCACTGGTTACTTACCAAATCAAATGGTGTTATTAGGCCTATCCTAAAAAATAACTCTGCAGCAGTTGGCATGATCTTTTCTTCTCTGAGTAACTTTCTTTTCTTTCAAGGTGCAGTGTCACTCTTGTCACTGAGGCTGGAGCGCAATGGTGTGAACTTCAAGGGATTCTCGTGCCTCAGTCTCCCAAGTAGCTGGGATTACAGGCCCCTGCCACCACGCACAGATAATTTTTAGTAGAGATGGGGTTTCACCATGTTAGCCAGACTGGTCTGGAACTCCTGACCTTAGGTGATGCACCCGCCTCAGCCTCCCAAAGTGTTGGGATTACAGGCGTGAGCCACTATGCGCAGCCTTCAGCATTTTTTTTTTTTTTGAGAGTGACATGGAGTCTCTCTCTGTTGCCCAGGCTGGAGTGAAGTGGTATGACCTTGGCTCAGTGCAAACTTCTGGGTTCAAGTGATTCTCCTGACTTAACCTCCCATGTAGCTGGGATTTTTTTTTTTTTTTTTTTAGTAGAGACTGTTTACCATGTTGGCTAGGCTGGTCTTGAATTCCTGACCTCCAGTGATCTGCCCACCTCAGCCTTCCAAAGTGCTGGGATTATAGGCACGAGCTACTGTGCCCAGCCTGCCCATCTAACTTTCTTAGCAGGAAGAAGCCACCTTAGATTCTTCCTTCTCTCTCAACCAGTCAGTCCTTTCATATTTAACTCCTAAATACGTCTGTAACTCCCTAAAATCAGGTTCTTATCTCTGTCCTCGAACATTATCACTAACTGATCTCTGTTACCAATGTTATCATGCTCCAGTTTACCATATATCCATCATTTTCCTTTATAAAAATCACTGTACTTCAAAATGCAAACTTTTTAGTTTGGCTTAAAAGACCCTGTCCCATCTAGCCTCAGCCTCCTTCTCCAGTCTTGTTTCTCAATCTCTTACCTTAGAGTCATAAATATTGAATATACTGACCTATGGGCCATAAATATCAAACACCCTTGACACCGCCACAAACCCATCACACTACCTTTGCTGATGCTTTCCCCAATCTGGAGTTTCTTTTTTTCTCTCCTCACTGGCAAATAACTTTCAAGACCCTATTCAAACATCACCTCCTCTGTAAAGCTTTTCCTACATCCCCAGGTAATTATCCCCCTTTTCTCCAGCGTTGCCTACCAACTGTCCTTTTTAATGTATTTCCATTATTTCACTTGTCACAGTGTTTTATAATTATTTGCAGAATCTGTTTCCTACTAGATTATGAGTTTCTTGAGGTCAGGGGCCTCGTCTTATTCATTTTTCTAACCCCAGTGCCTGACATTATGTCTGACTCACAGCAGGACCTCAATAAGTATTTGTTGACTAAATGACTCCGGACCCTAAAACAAATGTCAGTGCACAGGGCAGTAGGCTTTGTGCAGGGGCGGTTTACACAAATGGCATAAACACCAGATTTTCATTTGATGGGAATGAGATCTTTTACTCCATGGAAAGAAGCGTTCCAGTTCATCATCTGACAGTGGTAACTCAGCACCACCACTCTCAACCCCACGAGAAGCCACTTCTGAATAAGAATGGAGTGAAAAAGAGGTCTTTACTGCTGTGGTAGTGGGTGATACCGATTCTGAACGACTATGGGAAAAAAAATCTACTGAGGCCTTGAGACCCTGGAGAATGGGGGCAGCAATTATCTTCCCCGCCAAGCATCCTAGCCCTTCAAGACACATTCCCTAACTCCCACCCCGCAGCCCCTCCCTCATCTACAACCAACAGCAGGGCCTTGATCCTGCTGCCCCGCCCCCTCTTTCTCCGCACCCTCCAATATTTCCTGCCACAGAACCCCTTCACAATTTGACCTTGTCATCACTGGGACTTAAGTGTTACAGATCCTCTCAGCCCTGATCCCCCCACCATTCTACGGCCCCGACCCCCGCCTCCAGCCTGCTCTTACTGTCCAGATAATGTTCCAAATACATCCCTGCAGCCATCTCGAAGCAAAACAAAGCAACTTCCGATCTGCCCCGGAAGTGACTGTAACGCGACAGGGGCCGAAGCCATTTTGGGGTTAAAGCTTTTCCGCCCTTAAAAGGGAAACTTCCGCCCTTACTAAATTACCGCCGATACACATCCGCCCGACGCTGAAACTTTTCTTTTAGCATGGTAGCCACGACTGCCCATAGCGAGGCAACTGTAGCCCGCTTCCGCCCTTACAGAGACTCCAAGACGCGACCGCGGCAGGTATGACGTCACTGGAGGTCGCCATTTTGCATTCTCTGGCAAACTTTTTTCCCTCCAAAACGGGAAAGCATGGTAATCGGTGTGGGGGTAACCGTTCTCTTTAGGATTGTATTGTGTAAACATCCCTTCTCAGCAGCTGGAAGATCCAACATTTCTTTCCCTCTTTTGCAGAATATGACTTTTTTCAAGCCATCTGGTTTCTTAAGGAAGTTGAGGAGTATCAGGCCTTGAGACATTTAAACCCTCTTCATTTCTTTTAACTCACCAAACACCATCTCCCCCAGCATCATTTTTTTAACTTGAGAAAGATTATCAACTTTCTACTTATAAATACAAAGAATGACTCAATAAAGCTATAATTCTGCACACCTTTTGTTCATAGCTCCTGTCCTTTATGCTCGAATACACTTTCACTTATAAAATATTACTTTCAGCCTTGCCCTCGTTTTTGATCGCTCTTGTTGCCCAAGTTGGAGTGCAATGGCATGCGATCTCAGCTTATCGCAACTTTCGCCTCCTGGGTTCAAGCAATTCTCCTGCCTCAGCCTCCCGAGTGGCTGGGATTACAGGCATGGGCCACCTTGGTCAGGCTGGTCTTTAACTCCTGACATCAGGTGATCCGCCTACCTTGGCCTCCCAAAGTGGTGGGATTACAGGTGTGAGCCACTGTGCCTGGCCCCTCTTGCTACTCTCTTAAGGGGGAAATCTCATGTTTTTGTTTTGCTTTTATTTATATGTGATGTTAGCATCATGATTCTGAAGGGATTCAGGTATGGAGCAGTATTACTACTGGGCTAGTAGTTAGTTGCCAGCCATCACTCTAGTCAGCTATGACCTCTATGGTTTTCATTAGAATGGAAAGCAGTCAAGGGCATGAGAGGCTGCCAACACACTAGGCGAACAGAACTCAAGGGCCATAACCTAATAGCGGTGTTAATAAGATAGTATCTCAGAGATAACTGCCATCTCTAACACCTTTCATACCCAACCTTAATAAGAATTATCAATGTCTTATGACAAGTTTTTAATGAGACAGACTTTGAGCTATATGATTTCTACCACATATGTGAAGAGCAACTTCCAACCCAGGGCGGATTGCAAGTTACTATGTTTTGCTTCAAGATGTCTGCAGAGATGTATTTAGAACATTATCTGGACAGTAAGAGCAGGCTGGAGGAGGGGTCAGGGGCTGAGTGGTAGGGGGATCAGGGCTCAAAGGATCTGTAGCCCGTAAGCCCAGGTTTACCAGTGTACAGGTAGTTAAGATACAGCAATAGAATCCAGAAGACTTCACTCTAATTATAAGAGTCATGCTATTTGGTAATTTAATCTCTGTGCCTGTTTTACTATACAGTAAGAATACGAACTGCTTCCTGGGTTGTTGCAGTGAGTGTATCCATAAAAAGAGTAGATTCTGGTTCTGATATTGGTGACGAAGTTAGGGCCATTAAGGCCTTTCAAGAGTTGAGAGTGGGAGCAAAAAGAAAATACTCAGGGAGCTAAGAAACACTGGCATATTTGGTCATATGTGACACATTAATTGGTATCACACAACATATTGAGACACCATCTTAAGTGCCCACAGAGGATATCTATCACTAAAATAAATAGGCACTTATTTTATCCCAGCCCAACTAGGTAAGTACTGTTGGTCAGCAGTCCCAGAGAACTACCAATTCTTGGATATGAGAGCTTGGTCACAACTTTTTCAATGCTTAAAGCAAGAAAACCTTGCTTTAAGTTTTTCTCTTATTTTTTTTAGACAGAATCTCGCTGTGGCCCAGGCTGGAGTGCAGTGGTGCTATCTCAGCTCACTGCAACTTCTGCATCCCAGGTTCCAGTGATTCTTCTGCCCCAGCCTCCTGAGTAGCTGGGACTACAGGAGTGAGCTACCACGCCCGGCTAATTTTTGTATTTTTAGTAGAGATGGGGTTTGGTCTTGAACTCCTGACCTTGTCATCTGCCTGCCTTGGCCTCCCAAAGTGCTGGAATTACAGGTATGAGTCATGGCACCCAGCCTTTAAGCAAGGTTCTTAATTCTCAAAAAAAGGTATCTTGAGAGTTATTTAGTCCAATCCCTTCACTAACAGTTGAGGAATCACCCTGGCCAACACTGGTTGATGGTAGGCAAGGGGCTGAAGTCTGTTTCCTGACTACATTCTACTCCACAGTACTACAGCTCTCCTGCATAAATCAATCTTGCACCCCTTAACTGGTTATGATTTCCACAAGATAATGAACATACATATACATACACATTGCCAACTGGAAGCCCTTCTTCCACAGAGACTCAGGCAGGAGTGCAGATCCTTTCAAGAGGCTTCCATTTTTCTTCTATAGGGAGCTTAGCTGTTATGTTAACACATAACCAAAACTTTGCTCTCACGTATTCAGGCAATGCAATCCCCATGACAGAATGTGTATGTAGAAGTCTTCATAAACCAGAATTTCACTTGAAAGCTAATAAAACTGTACCCTTCTGTGACTGGAGAATCACGTACGGGGCATCATCACACAAGCACTCGTTCAACACACACTCTGTGGTATAAGTCCTCAGAACCGTTCTTGGACATCTCCCCAAAGACCTTTTCCGCATGCTCACATCAGTAGCTCCACTGCCTCTGATCCTTTTACATGAATTTATTTCTATACAATGTTCTAAAAACACCCCTTGGTTTGTACATAAGTTGTTTTTTTCTTCATTTTTAAACTGCTTTATAACAACTGATTTCTGATTTTTTTTTAAAATTTCCTTTTCTCTGAAACCTGCCAAGATTAAAAAAAAAAAAAAAAAAAAAAAAAAAAGCCAAAAAAAAAAAAATGCTGTGGCCAGATGACAGGAGTGGAGGGGGAAAAAAAGGACAAAAATAAAATAAACAAAACATCAAATATGAAAATTCTGAGATAATGCATTTATAAACACAGAAATGGTTACAACAATGATGGCCGTGATGAGTGGGTATAATATATTTATATATATATATATTTATATATAAATCGTGTCCGGCTTCTGACCGTGGCACCTAGGGAGCTAAGTCCAGTCCTTGTGTTTGCCTTGAACTCTCCCTTCTCTGCAACATCCCTGTTTTGGAGTTTCACAAAGAACACAAAGCCTCCCACAGCTCCTTGGGGGATGGGCTGGGGACAGAGAGTGTAGGGTCTATGTAGGCAGAGAAGGAGCGAGGCTCCAAGGAAATCTGTAAAACCATAACCCACATTTCTAAGCCACCTGTGACCAACTTGGGAAATTCTGGCCCCTTGGGGACCACATCTCAGCCCCTGCCCCCTTCAAATAAAAGGAGGTCTAACCCCTACCCCCAAATCTCCTTTGACCAGCAGTCAATAGGAAGTGAAGTGAGACGATGTAGGGGAAGAAATGGCTCTCAGGGACTGAGGCATGTAAGAAACCTCTGTTCTTTTGCAGGCAAGAATAGAACAAGAGGCTGGTTGCATTTGGGGCTCCCTTTTCTCTGTAATCTGGGAGGACCAGCCTCTAGTCTTCTATCAGCCCAAACTTTGAGGATAAGGAAGGTAAGGATAGGGTAAGTTACCACGCTGGACACGTTTCTATGAGGTCATAGCAAATCCTTCCCTTGAGCACCAATCCCCAATTTTAAAAGCTTTGCTTGGGAGGGGAGGCTGCTGGATGACACCATAAGCTCAGTATTCCTTTGCAATCAGGAGGGCTGATGTTCCTTTTGAAGAGTTCAGAAAAAGGATGGTATCTTGTGGAGGAAAGCCATGCCTGAGGCCCAAGGAGATGGAGCCAAGGCCTGTCAAGGAAGAAGAGGACTTTTCCCACCAAGAGGAGTCGGAGAAAGAAGAAACCAGGACTTCTTCCTCTTCCCAGTGGGTGGCAGCACGGATCTCTAAGAGCTGGCCAGGTGCTCCACCTGGATGGTGCTGGTGGTGACAGTGAGACAGATGTCCTTATGATGCTCTGCTGTCTTATAGGGAGTCAGGTCAAAGGAACATTGGGGTGGTGGGTTGGGGTTGCTGTCCCCACCACCCCCACCCTGGGGGGCTGCCCCAGGAGACTGGAAGTGTGGTGGTGGCTGCTGTTGCTGCTGCTGCTGCTGCTGCTGCTGTGATGCCTGGGAGGCCTGGGCTTGGGCTTGGGCCTGGGCCTGAGCCTGAGCCTGCGCCTGGGCCTGGGCCTGGGCCTGAGCCTGAGCCTGAGCCTGAGCCTGGGCCTGGGCCTGGGCCTGGGCCTGGGCCACTGCTGCCGCTGCTGCTGCTGCCTGCACTTGTTGCTGAAGATCAGGAGGGTTGTGTTTGCGCATATGTTTCATAAGGTATGTTTCCTGAGGGAGATGATAAAAAGAAGTTGAGGGACGAAAGGGAAGGAAAATAGATTACTTGTAACTAGCACCCCAGGCTGACTCTGCTGTAAGTAGAGTAAGCTTTATATTTATACTGGTTTTCTGGAGCCAGAAGTGAGCAAAACTCAAGTAGCCCTTTCAGTGGCTCACTGCTTCCCCACCCCTCCCCAGCCAGGTGGATGCTTTTTTTTTTTTTTCCTTGAGACAGAGTCTTGTTCTCCCTCCCTCCCAGGCTGAAATATAGTGACATGATCTTGGCTCACTGTAACTTCTGCCTCCCAGGTTCAAGTGATTCTCCTGCCTCAGGCTCCTGAGTAGCTGGGATTACAGGCGCATGCCGCCATGCCTGGCTAATTTTTTGTATTTTGTAAAGATGGGGTTTCAGGCCGGGCGCGGTGGCTCAAGCCTGTAATCCCAGCACTTTGGGAGGCCGAGGCGGGTGGATCACGAGGTCAAGAGATCGAGACCATCCTGGTCAACATGGTGAAACCCCATCTCTACTAAAAATCAAAAAATTAGCTGGGCATGGTAGCACGTGCCTATAATCCCAGCTACTCAGGAGGCTGAGGTGGGAGAATTGCCTGAACCCAGGAGGCAGAGGTTGCGGTGAGCCGAGATCGTGCCACTACACTCCAGCCTGGGTAACAAGAGCAAAACTCCGTCTCAAAAAAAAAAAAAAAAAAAAAAGATGGGGTTTCATTGTGTTAGCCAGGATGGTCTCGATCTCCTGACCCCGTGATTCACCTGCCTCAGCCTTGCAAAGTGCTGGGATTACAGGTGTGGGCCATAGCACCCAGCCAGTGGCTCATTATTGAGAATAAAAGAGAGGGAAACCTTTAGAAGTCACTGTGAACATTCAACTGGCAAAGGAATGAGCTGCTATTTTTTTCAAAGACCCCTGAATGAAACAACTTTACAACCTTTTCTGGAGTCTCATGGAAAATACCTAACTAGCTGGGCCAGGTGTGGTGACTTACATCTGTAATCCCAGTACTTTGGGAAGCCAAGGCAGATCGATCACTTGAGGTTAGGAGCTCAAGACCAGCCTGAGCAATGTGGTGAAATTCCATCTCTACTAAAAATGAAAATTGGCTGGGCATGGTGGCACACACCAATAATCCCAGCTATTTGGGAGGTTGAAGCAGAAGAATCTCTTAAACCCAGGAAATGGAGGTTGCAGTGAGCAAAGATCACACCACTGCACTCCAGCCTGGGTGACACAGCAAGACTGTCTCAAAAAAACAAAACAACACCTAACTGAAATCTTGCTCCCCTCAAAATTTTAAGTGGCTTTACTTTGCCTTATGTTTAAATAAAATGAAGAATTACAGAATCAGGCATCCCCTAAATTCCTCAGCTTATGAGTCTAATTTGTGACTCTTTACTTGTTCTGCTAAGCTGGAGCTAAGGAGGCAGGATATTCACTGCAATAGATCTCTATCCAGAAAATGGGGTGAAGTGGACTGTACTCTTAGAGGACTATCAGGAAGGAAAGAGAAGAAATGGAGCACTCACTGATGTGTATGCCCGACTGCAGATAGTGCAGGTGTACACCTTGGCATGCTTCACCGTGTGCGTTGACAGGTGCACCTCTAGTGAGGCTGCGTCCGTGTACGCTCGATGACAGTTGTGGCACTTGAAAGGTTTATCTTTGTTGTGTTGTCGTCTGTGGGACTGAGAAAATTGGGAGAAACCAGAATGAATACACTGTACTCTTCCCTCCTGCCCACTTGACCTTGATGGAAAGCACAAAGGTAGATGTAGCTGTCAGGCCTCTCAGCTTCTCTCTCCATCGGAAGAAAGGAGAAACTGCTTCAAATGGAAATTGAGAAGCTACAGGCTAAGGGAGAAAGCATACCTCATGTGGCGCATACCAGGATCCCGAGACAGCTTATGCCCGTCTCACCAGTCCAGTGGTTCTTAAAGTGAGGTGTGAGGATCTTTAAGGAACACTAAGACCCTTTGCAGGGGACCCACAGGATCAAAACTCTTTTCAAAATAATAAGACAATGTTTGCCTCTCTCTCTTGAACCTGGGAAGTGGAGGTTGCAGTGAGCTGAATCAAACCACCACACTCCAGCCTGGGTGATAGTGAGACTCTGTCTCAAAAACAAAACAAAACAAAAAAAACCTAACTGAAATCTTGCTCCCCTCAAAATTTCAAGTGGCTTCATTTCGCCTTATGTTTTACAGGTAACATTTACAGAGGTTACATGACATGTGATAACACAATAGACCAGATGCAGCAGATATGAGAATCTATTTATTTTCTGGCTTAAGACATTAAAGACCCCTGTGCCAGGTGTGGTGACTCATGCCTACAATCCCAGCACTTTTGGGAGGCTGAGGCAGAAGAATGGCCTGTGTCCAGGAGTTCAAGACCAGCCTAGGCAAGATAGCAAGACCCCTAGCAAGACCCCATCTCTACGAAAATTAAAAAACCAGCCAGGTTTTTGGTGGTATATGCCTGTAATCCTGACTACTTGGGAGGCTGAGGTGGAAGGATCACTTGAGCCCCGGAGGCTGAGGCTGCAGTGCACCATGATCACACCACTGCATTCAGCCTAGGTGACAGAGCAAGGTCTTGTCCAAAAATAAAAAACAGATACCTGCAAAAACGTGTAATAATCCCAATCTTCTTAATCAGTTGTTTTTGGAGGGTCTTGGAATATATTTTTTATGTTAACACACATGGGTTTATTTTTGTTCTTTCTAAACAGATTACTACTATATTTTTAATGTTTTTCAGTTTCATGTTTACGTGGGTAATAGCTGCTTTTGCCCACATAAACAAAAACACTTCGGGTCCCTCAATAATTTTTGAGTGTAAAGGAGTCCTGAAACATTTGAGAAGCTGTATACTGTTTGAATGGCCCTAAGTCTCAGATCAAGGTCTTGTGTGGAGGGTGGAACATTTACCTGCAGATTGGAGAGTTGTGTGAAGGCTTTCTCACAGCCTGGGTGTGCACATTTGTATGGTCTATCACCAGTGTGGATTCTGCACAGGATAGGAAGAGAAGAAAGGGAAAGAATGTCAGCAAGACTATTTAAGAATTGGCTCAACAAATCTTTTCCAGGCCAATCCTTCTCTCCTAAGGAGGCACATCAGATGGGCCTCCAAGAGGCACGAGCCTTCCTCTCTGACGTGGATCAGGTTGTAATGCCTTGCTTCTGGTCAATGTCTCCGTCACTCAGCTCAAGCTGAGCCTGCCCTCTGCTGGGGGAGGAAGACCGAGGACTCAGCACCCAAGGGACAGGCAGTCCACAATTTGGCATACAAGTCAGCTCCTACAGTAACTGTCCTAACAAACATTCAAGAATGTAAGATAAACACAATGGCAAGGAAAAAGAAAAGCACAACGTGTCTTCTTTGGTCCCACCTTATAGCCAGAAACTGTCCCCTCAGCTTTGAGCAACACTTCCAGAGAATGTTATGGTATCATAGAAAAGCAAAGTTACACTGACTGTGGAGAGTAGTAGTGATATTAATAAAAACTCATGAAAACTCCTAAGGGCTTTTTGTAGTCCAGCCGTCTAATGGCAGGAAATGCTTACTTTACTATCAATCTGACCTCTTTCCCCCCCAAATTCTAGGGTCCTCTGCTAGGTGAGCCAAGGACTTGAGGATGCAGTAACACCTGCTCATCATCAGTGACTTCAGAACCATCTCTATGACCAGGTGCTTTTCTGGACCTCTGGTATAAAATCTTGAAAACATCACAGAACATGTCTCTTCTCTGTGAAGAAAGCCTGGCTCCTCCTCTTCTCAAAGCAAGATGTCTGATCACTTTAAGGTGAGATCATCAAATCCACAAGCCAGGTGAGAGGCCCTATGGCCTGTACATCTGGACTCCTGTTCAAACTGAGATAGCACTGAAGGAGATCACCACGTCTTCTAGTTGGCACGTTCACTTCTTTCTAGTCACTCCAGATTCACGGGATAAACACGGGGCATCCTTATGAAGCATGAGCTTTAACATTTCCTGTTTGCTGCTTCTCTCTGAATATTTGGTACATGTTTTGTTTTCTTCTCTACTCTTGGCATCCCTCGGAGCCTTGCTTGTTGCTGTGGGTGTCACCAGGCTGGTGCCCAGCTAACGTCTGGTTTTCTCTCCTGTTCATAATTGGTACCCTAAGGGCTAGAGAGGTATGGTCTTCTCCACTCAAATGCTTCTGCTTTGGCATCAAGGGAAAAATCTTGCAAGATGAGTACATGAGTATTTTCATGGCGGAAAATGAGAAAAAAGATAAGTTGTTTCCACTCCAGGTATGTGTCTGTCTCCCATGGATCAGTGAGTATCACACAGTCACTGCAGCTCCCCGACGTAACTCTTGCCCCAGAGAGGCTCTCTCTTAATGTCCACTTGAATCTCCAATGTTGTTTGGTCTTCCTTCTCCCAGATGCCAGCCAGGTTCTCTCCTCCAGCCAGGTCTCTCCCCCGCCCCCCGCATGCGGGTTGTTGTGTGTGTCCGGGGCGGGGGTGGGGAGGGCATGCCAGCGGGGCGGGGTCAGTAGCCCGCCACTCTCCCTTACCGTGTGTGCTGCTGGAGGTGGGAGAGCTGGCGAAAGGCCTTCTGGCAGTAGGAACAGTTGTAGGGCTTGGCCCCCGAGTGGATACGGAGGTGCTGGGCCAGGTAGGAGGTGTTGGCGAAGGTCTTGGAGCAGTGCGGGCACTTGTGGGGCTTGATGGTCTCCGTGTGCATCTTGGAGTGGATCCTGCCGGAGAGGAGGGAAGGGGGGAGGAGGAAGCAGTTCGACACCAGGGGTTCAGCTCTCTGCTGGGTGAAATGATGTTGCTTGACGGATGAGAGCAGCCCCTTCCTCCCTCCTCCCAAAACACTCCAGCCTGGATAGGCGAATGAAGAGGATACCCAGATCTAGGTTGTTGCTGATCGTAAGTCGGTGGCTAGAATGGCAGTGAGATGATGAAGAGCTGCAACCCATGGCTCCTGGTAACCTTAAAGTAGTCAGTCTCGTCAACCCTCCACATTTTCCTAAGGTTAACACACTCACCACAGATAGTAATCACCCTGCTTCCAAATAGTAATCTGAACAAAGACCAATACCGCCTGTTCCCCATGGACCTGAAGTTGAATGCACACCTTGGCTCTGAACTGAAGCATATAGTAAAAGCAGGCCTGCTCTGCAGATTTCCAAACACAGACACAAAGAGAAACCACAAAAATTGTTCCGGACTTTGGAATTGGAGACCACAATTTTTGAGGCCCCCCCAAATTCTAGGATATGTAATTTCCACAGACAGTAACAAGAGATCGAAGCTACCAATGGGCAAAGGTGAAAGGGAAAAAAATACATGTGGAGAGAGGCGAAGGTGCAGGCAACGTGGTCTCGGGATTCATGGCCAGGTGGTGGGGTAAACCAAGAGCTGCCTTACCGGGTGTGCTGCTGAAGGTGGGAGAGCTGGCGGAAGGATTTCTCACAGAAGTTACAACTGTAGGGCTTAGCCCCTGAGTGGATACGGATGTGCTGGGCCAGGTAGGAGCTGTTGGCGAAGGTCTTGGAACAATGTGGGCACTTGTGGGGCTTGGTCTCGGTGTGTGACTTGGAGTGGATCTGCATCTCCGACTTTGAGTAGAATGTCAGTGAGCACATCCGGCACCTGAGCCAAGTGAGGGCAATGGTTAGAACCCTTCCCACCAAGAGGGTATGGCTGAACCCTCCCCTCTACTTCCAAGAGATGCCCACCTATCTGAGCTCACTCCTACTCCAACTTGAGAGTGGAGCTCTAGGTATTCATCTTTATGGCCTATCTTCTAACATGGTGCACAGCACATTATAAATATTCAATACCCAGGCACGGTGGCTCAAGCCTGTAATCCCAGCACTTTGGGAGGCTGAGGTGGGCGGATCACGAGGTCAAAAGATCGAGACCATCCTGGCCAACATGGTGAAACCCCGTCTCTACTAAAAAAAAAAAAAAATACAAAAAATTAGCTGGGTGTGGTGGCGTGTGCCTGTAGTCCCAGCTACTCGGGAGGCTGAGGCAGGAGAATTGCTTGAACCCGGGAGGCGGAGGTTGCAGTGAGCTGAGATTGTGCCACTGCACTCCAGCCTGGCGCCTGGCAACAGAGTGAGAACCTGTCTCAAAAAAAAAAAAAAAAATTCAATAAACGTTTGCTGAATGACTGGACTGCCACAATGTGCAAAAATAAGAATTCAACCAGGTAAAACAGAAAAACAGTATGAACTCTAGCAGATGTGAATTTCAATGGGCCGGGAATATCAGTTAACTTGTTTTCCCTCTGCCTACAGCTTGATTGCAAACATTTAAGGAATTCCTTTCCCTAATGTTCCCATGTATGAAGTACATCCCTCTGTATTCCTCAAGACTCCGAAACAATAATGAGGAACAACTAACTAGACACTCTCCTGTCTCCACAGATAATCTTCCCTCAGATTTTTCCCTACTTCCTCTTCGGCAGCAATTCCTAGAGGGATGGGGGTGGGGAAATAACTGAATTATTTGGAGGGGCTTTTCCAAACCATTTATGTCTGCTCTCCACCCTCTTATCTGATGTTCCATACATCATCTACCCATCCCCTGACCACAGCCCTGTGACAATCAAGTGATAACCACTTTTGCAATGACCAAGGTGTAGCTGCTAGGGGAGGATGCCATCCCTCAAGCATATGGGAGAAAAATGTTCACAAAACACCTGTCTTCCATGCTAAACCTTTCCTCTTCCCTAGCACACACAGCCAGTGTCAGCACTCTGGGTTGACATCAATAGCACCTGATCGTACTTTCACTTATCCCAAGTTGGTAATTGTTTCCACTCTGGTATTGTCCACCAATATCAGATAAGGAGGCCTCTGAGCAAGTTAAGCCACAACTATTCAGACTTTACTGGGTAAAAGCTATCTATCATTTTCATAAACAATTCACCAGTGAAAATGTAAGCTAGTAGAAAAGACAATGGTCTGGAAGCCAGGCAATTAGCACAAGTCCCTCTTCTTTGGGTTCTCCCTAACTTATCTTCTTAAAGAGAGGCTTGAGATGGTGTGGGGTGATGATTTCTGCACTTTTTTCATCTCAGGAGAATTTTTTAGTTACCAGCTTATCGATCCCTGGAAGTTGTCTGAGATGCCCAATCATCTCAGGAGAGAGGGGGAGGCTCTGTTAATAGTGAGCACAATCCAAAGGACACAGCCAGTGGGAATCAGGATGCCTGGGCTCTACTCAGAGTTCACTTACAAGCTAGCTCATTAATCTAGACCTCAATTTTCTGGTCTGTAAAATGGAGAGAGAAATTTCTGCCCCCAGAAGGGCCAGCAAAACACTTAGGACAGTCAAAGGTAAGCCAAGTATTCCTCAGTAATAAAACTGCATTTATGTTAAGCATCAGTGCTGATGGACGAGCTCATACTACTATTTCACTAAGACTGAGGTTAGAAGCTGGACACACTGTCACTTGGAGGGCAACTGTACTAAGTTGCAAACTAATTTCCCTTGATGCTATAATTTCTCAGATAGGGAGAATAACAGATTTCTTTTAACTCAAATAAAATCTCATCAATTTGTGTATGAGGGTGTTCAACACACAATTCTGCCCTTAACATTAATGTTAATAAAAAAAAAAAAACCTACTTAAAGTTTCCAATAAGAAAACTTGCAAAACTTAAATTCATTTATAATGTGCTGGCAAGGGAATGAGCAATCTCAGAAGACACTAGGTATAATAATGATGATGACAATGATAATAATAGTTGCCATTTGTTGTTATGCCTGACAGTGCCAGGCACTAGGTTAGGCACTTCACACACATTGTTTCTACTCCTCACAACCTGGCAAGTCTTATCCATGTTTTACAGAAAGGAACACAAAGACTCAGGAAGTAAGTAATTTGCCAAGGGCAGATATTCACTACAAAGTCATGATGCCAGCCTACTTTAAGATTCCTGACACCAGAGGTATTCAAGCAGAGGTTATAATCATCTACCAGGAAGGGACTGACCAAGATCATTAAAATATTTCCAACTCAAAAATCCTATGAAACCAAGTCAGAGTGAGAGTGAGAGTCCTTTAATGCAAGGTGCTAGGTGGCCGGAAAGAAATTCAATTTTGGCCGGGCCTGGTGGCTCACGTCTGTAATCCCAGCACTTTGGGAGGCCGAGGCGGGTGGATCACGAGTGGTCAGGAGATCAAGACCATCCTGACTAACACAGTGAAACCCTGTCTGTACTAAAAATACAAAAAATTAGCCAGGTGCGGTGGCACATGCCTGTAGTCCCAGCTACCGGGGAGTCTGAGGCAGGAGAATCATTTGAACCCAGGAGGCAGAGGTTGCAATGAGCCGAGATTGTGCCACTGTACTCCAGCCTGGGCGACAGAGTGGGACTCTATCTAAAAAAAAAAAAAAAAAAAAAAAAAAAAGAACAAAATTTAATTTAGGAGACTTGTGGCAGTCAGCATGGGATAGAAAAGCCAGCATCCATATCACTGGGTGCATTCCTCCAGGTGCACACTCACACCCAACACAATGAGAATGGGGCCCCTTGGAAGCACACAATGCAATGGCCTTGATTACAATGACCACTTTGAATTATCATCCATTTTTCCTAAAATGCTCAAAACAATTTCAAATATTCTGATTTTCCCTCAAAACATTTCTACAAGATAGATGAAGGCATGGCTGATCTTCCCATTTTATGTATGGGAACAAAGAGTGGGAGATATGTTGATTTGCCCAGAGTACCAGAACCCAATTCCTCCAATACCCAGTGAAATGCTACTGACCACTGGAATGGATATGGCTGACTCAACATACATCAAAATATAAACTGTGATTTTAAAAGATTTCTTTTGCCAGGCATGGTGGCTCATGCCTGTAATCCCAGCACTTTGGGAGGCCGAGGCAGGCGATTACCTGAGGTCAGGAGTTTGAAACCAGCCTGGACAACATGGTAAAACCCTGTCTCTACTAAAAATACAAAAAAATTATCTGGACGTGGTGGCATGCACCTGTAGTCTCAGCTACTTGGGAGGCTGAAGCACGAGAATCTCTAGAACCCAGGTGGTAGAGGTTGTAGTGAGTCGAGATCATGCTACTGCACTCCAGCCTGGGCGACAGAGCAAGAGTCTGTCTCAGTAATTTAAAAAAAAAAAAAAAAAAAAAAAAAAGATTTCTTTGGAATGTCAGGGTTCTGAGTTTCTAAAGAAATTCTGTTTACCTAGAATACAAGTAGTCTCCCTTCAATTTCAGAGTTCTTTTTAGTTACCTGGGTAGAGGGTCATTCAGGAATTCCAAAAATACTGAATGTGTGGTAAGTCCTATGAGGCTTTCTTCCAACTACATATTCACATTTCTTTTAATATACACAGTTTGGAAAGTCCAGGGATAGCTTTAACATGGGTCCCAGTGAAGAAAGGGCAGAATGAGAGGACCTTGATGCATTAGAAGGGCTCTACAGGACGTTCCAGGGTCCTCCCGCTATTCTACAACAAATTTTATACAGATTATCTCCATGTCACAAAAGCCTCACTTGAAACAAACACATAAGAATCCCGATTTCTGTACAATGATTAAAAAGGGATTTTAATTTTGTGAAATGATATCTAAAAGAATGCCTTTAAATGAATCAAACTTGTCAGGTACCTTTATAATACGATATGATGGAAACATTTTCCAGGAACACTTTTATTGTATAAAGTGGGGTACACCTGTAATAATAAAGCTGCAATGAACTTCTGGAATATGAGCTGGAATTCCGTAGTGCTCAATTCTGCACAGCAACACTCCTCTCATTTGCACTTACAAAGACCCATGTAAACACTCTCTAGGCTACTCTCCACAGAACCATACAACACAAATACAAATAAATGCTAAATAACTATTTCTTAATTTTCTTTTGAAGTTCCCAACATTTCGAATCTTATCTGATATATACTCCCAACAAATGGGATGACATGGGAGGCATAAACAGAATTATCCCCATTTTATAGATGAGGAAACTGAGGCCCAGAGAGGGGAAAAGGACTTGCCCAGGGTCACACAGCAAGTTCGTGGTGGAGCCGGGAACTGAATCCATGAGCCCAAGGCTCTGTCCATTTCCTGTGCCGCAGTTCCCTTCGCTCCTAAAATGGGAACAACATTGCCCATCTGGGTACACTAAGGAACTAAGGACAGACCCAGAATCCCAGCCATGCACTTCTACCCCTGTCTGTATCAAAGCTGTGACAGTAGTTATCCCATTCTATACAGTGCTACCGAACTCCCCAAACCCACTAGGGCATGTGACAGCTCTCAAAGGGATTAAACGATGTTCAATTTTCAAGGGGCAGAGAGTTTATTTATGTAATTATTTTTGAATAGTAGCACATGCAAATATGCATATAATGCTTTTTGGTAAAGGGGAACTTAGAGGAAGCAGAGAATCAAAATGACTTTCATAAATTAGAAAGTGAGCAAAGTCATTCTATAAGTACATATTCCAAAGGGGAGGCATTCTATTCCTCCTACCTTCTTATGAAGGCCCCTCCCATCATCCCAACCATGCAGGGTCAGGCAGGCTAGGTGTTCAAATATGGCCCAGGAACTGGTGGATGGCACATAGGTTAGGTGTTTACCAGAAAGGTTTCTTAGAAAAATAGGAATGGAGGCTGGGCGCAGTGGCTCGCACCTGTAATCCCAGCACTTTGGGAGGCCGAGACAGGTGGATCACGAGGTCAGGAGTTCAAGACCAGCCTGGCCAAGATGGTGAAACCCGGTCTATACTAAAAACACAAAAAAATTAGCTGGGCATGGTGGCGGGTGCTTGTAATCCCAGCTACTCAGGAGGCTGAGGCAGGAGAATTGCTTGAACGTGGGAGGCAGAAGTTTCAATCTAGGTGGAGCCTAGATTGCACCATTGCACTCCAGTCTGGTAACAGAGTGAGACTGTCTCTTAAAAAAAGAGAAAAAGAAAAATAGGAATGGAATATGTAGAAAGCAAAAAGGAGCTCCAGACGGAGTCTCAAATCCACCATCAAGCCTTATTAAAGGAAAGAAATTTTACTTTGTTACTAAAAAATAGGTCAGTGCTAATGGCCCCCAAAACAAGGGTTAAACAAAGGAAAGGGTGAAATGGTCTTTGCATCCTAACAAGATGCTAGCAGCTCTGTCTACTGTTCTATGATGGGACACCTGACATGCAAGTGGCTCAGAGCTGGGAAACTGTCAGAGCACAGCGCCTGACTGGGGCAGAACCCAGTGAGGGTAGAGGGTGAATCACCAAGCCATGGATCCTCGCCCCATCCTGCCCCTGGCTCTGAGTCTTACCTGTAGGTCTTGCCGTCTTTCTGATGGTCATCATCATCCTCAGGAGAGAGGACGTAAGGGTCATTCATCTCAGGCAGCCCTGATTCCAGCATCCGCTTCTTCTTTCGGCCGCGGGGTGGTTTAGGAGCCACACTGCCACCTCCACCACCACCTCCGCCTCCTTCCTCAGTTAGGGTTGAGGCTACCTTCTTGGAGAGGTCAGGGACCACCTGCAGGGCTTGTGAGCCAGGGGGAAGAGCTGAGACAATCATGGGAGCCGAAATGGGGAAGGTCTGAGCTGATGATGCTGTGGTCACAAGAGAGCCTGAGGGGGACGTGATTACCAAACCCGGACCTAGGATTGGGAGAAAAGGGAGATGGCGTCATGTTGTTCAGTCCTGATCCTAATCCTATTTTATTTCCCCCAGATCATTGTCTAATTAACCCCTCACCGCCCCCGCCCAACCCCGAATACATAGGAAACCCCAAACCCTGTAGAAAAATAACGGTCTCCTAACCCTTGTCCCCACCCCCCTGGTAACAGTGAGATTTACCCCTTGATTGACTCCCTTCTCTTCTCCACCTCTGAGAACAGGAGACTCCTTGATTCAGAGAAGGAAAGAATGTCACCTCCTCAAAGGCAGGGACCGCATCTTCTACTTCTTTGTATCCCCCACAATGCCTAGCACATTGCTAGGCACACAGTAGGCACTTAATAAAAATTTGATTGAGTAATCAAACACATATCCCGCTCCCCATGTCCTTGGAGCCCTCTAGCCTGGGGTACTGATCATGGAAGATCAACACCTCAGATTGGAGAAGAGCAGAGTTGCTCACCAGCAGTCATCAGTCCTGTAGACGGCACAGGGACCACCGTGATATTCTGGGTAACAGACGCTTGGCTGTGTGGGGTCAGCTGGTCTGACTTGGACTCTGTGTCCATACTGATGCCTGAGGGCAGGGACACTGAGGCAGGCACTGTCAGCAAGGTGGGGTAGTGAGGTGGAGCCAGCCCACAGCCCTTTTCTGGCAACAGCTGATCCTTCATCTTGTTGATGAACATTGTGTTCTCAATCTAAGAGAAAAGGAAGGGGAAGGGAGTGCCCTCTTCAGACTGAGAGACTGTTTTGCCTGCTCACGAGCACATTTTAGTGTCTGTCCTCCATCGGGATCAAGGATGAGTAGTTCATACCTTTGGCCTTCTAGAGAGAAGCCAAGACAGAAACACCAAATTTCTCAGGGGTGGAGGACCCAATAAAACAACATGTGGTGTACCTTCGGTCTCCATAGTAACAGAACTTATTACTGAGAGTTAAGGACAGCAAGAAAGCAACACCACTTACCTGTCCTGAGACTGTGGGGATAGAAGGCCAGAAGTATGGGTTAGAATTGAAGTGAGATTCTTCCATTCTACCTGAATTAAAAAGAGAACACATCACACTCAGGAATTACTCTGAAAAAGCTAAGCAATGGAAAAGGGGAATCGAAGGGTTCCTGCTTTCCTCTGGCACCAGATCACACAGCTGGCGACTGGCAGTTAAGACCTTAGTGTCAGGCACATTAGTCCCTTGGGTCAGAGCCATTTGTCACTGTATCCCTATCCAAGAGAGGCTATCCTACTTATTGACTGTGAAAGAACTTATACGTATTGCATTTACTCACACAATCTTATTCATGCCCCCTAAAGAAGAACTGATACTACTTTCCTTTGCTGGCAAAAAGAAACTGAGGTCATGAGAGGTAAGGGGATGTACCTAAGGTCACAAAAAAACAAATCACTGACTGACTTGAAAACAGCCAGGTACCAGTACCTATTATTATTTCTCTTTTTCTTATTCTTCAAAACTAATCTTCCTTGAAATAAAAAAAAATTTTTTTTTTCTTTTTTTGAGACAGGGTCTCACTCTGTCACCCAGGCTAGAGTGTAGTGGCACAATCATAGCTCACTGCTGCCTCAACCTCCCGGGCTCAGGTGATCTTCCCACCTCAGCCTCCCAGGTAGCTGGGACTACAGGCATGAGCCATTATGCCAGAATATATATTTTTTTCTTTTTAAAGTAGAGACAGGGTTTCTCCATGTTGCCCAGGCTGGTCTTGAACTCCTAGGCTCGAGGGATCAGCTCGTCTTGGCCTCTCAAAATGTTGGGATTACAGGTGTGAACCACCATGCCCAGCCAATAAAAATGTCAAGAGTTCCAACTGATACATCTACAGTTCTATGTATTTTGAAAAGGGTCCAGGCCAGAACACAAAATGACTAAGAACATTAAAAAATGAAGACTGGGTGCGGTGGCTCATACCTGTAATCTGAGCACTTTGGGAGGCTGAGGCAGGTGTATGACTTGGGGTCAGGAGTTTAAGACCAGCCTGACCAATATGGTGAAACCCCATCTCTACTAAGAATACAAAATTAGCTGGGTGTGGTGGTGCATGCCTGTGATCCCAGCTATTTGGGAAGCTAAGGCAGGAGATGAGAACTGCTTGAACCCAGGAGGTGGAGATTTCAGTGAGCTGAGATCAATCCACTGTACTCCAGCCTGGGCAACAAGAGCAAAACTCCATCTCTTAAAAAAAAAAAAAAAAAAATTGGCTAGAATCAGAATGAAAGCATATTTTGAGTACCAACTACCGTCTGGTACACCACACCCACCAATCCCAAAGTCTAAGAACAACCATGGTTCTACACTGAGTACCATACACGCTTCACTGAGCAGCGAGAATCAAGGAATCACCCGTTTTAAAAAGTGTTCTGGGGTTGGGTGTGGTGGCTCACACCTGTAATCTCATCACTTTGGGAGGCCGAGGTGAGTGGATAACCTGAGACTGGGAGTTGGAGATCAGCCTGACCAACATTGAGAAACCCCGTCTCTACTAAAAACACTAAATTAGCAGGGCATGGTGGGGCATGCCTGTAATTCCAGCTACTCAGGAGGCTGAGGCAGGAGAGTCGCTTGAACCTGAGTGGCGGAGGGTGTGATGAGCTGAGATCATGCCACAGTACTCCAGCCTGGGTGACAAGTGCAAAACTCAATCTCAAAAAAAAAAAAGTGCTCTGGCATTAGCAGTAGTATCCCAGATTTCCAAAGGGATTCAGAATAGGCACAATAGTAGTGGGCCAGAATACACACATAGTGCTAGACTCCTGGTTTGTATTTCTCAAAAACTGTGCTTCTAGGTGGGAGCAGTGGCTCACGCCTGTAATCCCAGCACTTTGGGAGGCAGAGGCGGGTGGATCACCTGAGGTCAGGAGTTCAAGACTAGCCTGTTCAACATGGTGAAACCCCGCATCTACTAAAGATACAAAATTGGTTGGGCAGAGTGGTGCACACCCGTAGTCCCAGTTACTCGGGAGGTTGAGGCAGAAGTTTCTGAACCTGGGAGGTGGAGGTTGCAGTGAGCTGAGATTGTGCCATTGCACTCTGCCTGGGTGACAAGAGCAAAACTCCATCTCAAAAAAAAAAATAAAAGGCTAGGCATGATGGCTCGTGCCTGTAATCCCAGCATTTTGGAAGGCCAAGGCAGACAGATCCCCTGAGGTCAGGAGTTCGAGACCAGCCTGGCCAACAGGAGGAAAGCCTGTCTCTACTAAAAATACAAAAAAAAAAATAGCTGGGTGTGGTGGCACATGCCTGTAATCCCAGCTACTCAGGAGGCTGAGGCAAGAGAATCGCTTAAACCCAGGAGGTGGAGGTTACAGTGAGCCAGTATCATGCCACTACACTCCAGCATGGGCTACAAAGTGAGACTCCCCCTCAGAAACAACCACAACAACAACAACAACAAAAACAAAAACAACTGCTTCTAAGAGTTCAGATTCTCTGTATGTGGATAATTAAGCTTAAAACTTTGTGACCAGGCCTCCTGGCTCATCTGAGGTCAGGAGTTCAAGCCCAGCCCAGTCAACATGGTGAAACCCTGTCTCTACTAAAAATACAAAACTTAGCTGAGAATGTTGGTGCACTCCTGTAATCCCAGCTACTTGGGAGGCTGGGGCAGGAGAACTGCTTGAACCCAGGAGGTGGAGCTTGCAGTGAGCCAAGATCACACCATTGCCTGGGCAACAAGAGTGAAACTCCATCTCAAAAACAAAACAAAAACTGTGACAAATAAGGAGCAAGAAAAGTAACCCCTCAGAATTATGCCAACCAGTAACAGATGGGTACAGAACACAGGCATCCCACCACCCGGTTTCACATACTGATCACTTCTTCTAGCAAGGTTTAATTGGCAGTATGTTGGTCAAAAGTAGCTTCCCAAAATCCTGGACCAGGAAAGACAGAACACCACAAAAGACAAATAAGAAGAGTATGTGAGACTGGTGAAATGGGGACATAAGGAACAAAAAAATAAACAAACAGTATTACCAGGCTGCTACTCTGAGCAAAGCACAACCAAGGTTCAGGTGGGGAAGACCCACGACAGGCAAGTTAGAACCCACTGAAGATCCGCTGGAGGCAGACACCAGAGATACTGAGAGCTAAAGGGTGGCCAGGCAGAGAAACTTGGGTTTTAAGTACTGACTAAGGAAACAAGGAAGGATCTTCAACAGAAGCACTGAAGTTGGAAATCACTCTAACATAATTCTATTCTCTATCCTTTTATTGAAAACATCACATTTTTTTGTTCTATTAAACAGCACCCTCAATTTTCATAAAATCTACAAAGGGAAAAACTGAATTTTAGCCTTTTTAAACAGTAGCAAGGGTGGAATATACCAAATCTGTGACTACAACAGCTTCACATAAATAGGCTCACTATTAAATGACTAAAAATCAAGTATACATCAACTCTGTTTTCTGAGTCATAAAACACAATGAAACTAATCAGTCTCTGACACAGGTACTTACTTGGTCCTTAGCGATAGCTTTATAAAGGAGTCTTAACGCTGGGTGTGGTGGCTCATGCTTGTAATCCCAACACTTTGGGAGACCTAGGCAGGAGGATCACTTGAGGTCTGGAGTTTGCAACAAGCTTGAGCAATACAGTGAGACTGTGTTTCTAAAAAAAAAATTGAAAAAAAAAAAAGAGAAAGAAAAAAGGCAGATGTGGTGGTACACACCCATAATCCTAGCTATTTGGAAGGCTGAGGTGGGAAAACTGCTTGAGCCCAGGAATTCAAGACTGCAGTGAGCTACCGTCACACCACATCACTGTACTCCAACCTAGGTTAACAGAGCGAGACCCCATCTCTGTTTCTTTTTTTGAGAGACAGGGACTCGCTATGTTGCCCAGGCTAGAATGCAGTGGGTATTCACAGGCATGATCTCACTACTGATCAGCATGGGAGTTTTGACCTGCTCCATTTCTGACCTTGGCCAGTTTACCCCTCCTTAGGCAACCTGGTGGTTCCCTGCTTCCGGGAGGTCACCACATTGATGCCTAACTTAATGCAGACGCCTGATCGGCATAGGGCACTACAGCCCAGAACTCCTGGGCTCAAGCGATTGATCTCCCCACCTCAGCCTCCCGAGTAGCTGGGACTATAGGCACAAGCCACCACATCCAGTGAGACCCCATCTCTTAAAAAAAAAAAAAGAGAAAAAAAAGAAAAAAAAACACACAAGTTGCAGTGGCTCACATCTGTAATTCCAGCACTGTGAGAAGCCAAGGTGGACAGATTGCTTGAGTCCACCTGCATGGGCAATATGGTGAAACCCCATCTCTGCAAAAAATACAAAAATGAGCCAGGCTTGGTAGCGGGTGCATGTAATCCCATCTACCTCGGAGGATGAGGCAGGAGAATCACTTAAGCCCAAGTGCCAGTGCACTCCAGCCTGAGTAATAGAGCAAAACTTTGTCTCAAAAACAAACAAAAACCAAAACAAAACAAAACAAAGATGGGGGTCTCACTTCTCTTCAAGCAACAGAATCAAGACATAATCAGATCACAGTTTAAGAGAATCCAACCTTGCCAAGCTTTTGGGGAAACAGCAATCGCATCTTTTACATGTGTATCTTATAAATGTCTCCAACATATGACTTTATCACCTAAAACACAATTACACATTTAATGAATTGAACAACAGTGGACTTCCTACATGTAGGTTTTGCAGACAGTGCTAAGGGCTCAAGTCTTACCCACAATCCCTCTGTCTAATCTTCTAGTGAAGAGAAATGAAACAGACAAGATAAGAGTGGTGATGAATGATGGGAATGAAGTAGAGAATTAGGATGAAGAGAATGGGTGCCAAGGCTCACACCTGTTATCTAAGAACTTTGGGAGGCCAAGGCAGGTGGATCACTTGAGGTCAGCACTTGGAGACCAGCCTGGCCAACATGGTGAAACCACGGGTCTACTAAAAATACAAAACTTAGCTGGGCATGGTAGCACATGCCTGTAATCCCAGCTACTCAGGAGGTTGAGGCAGAAGAATTAAACTTGGGAGGTGGAGGCTGCAGTGAGCCAAGATCGCA